TTTGTGATTGTTGTTTTTATTGGTGGTATCTCCATCGAATGTGATACAGTAAGTTCAGTCCTTTACTATACTTTTTTTCTAACTAGGAGTTTTACCTTTACGGGAAAAGTGCCGACGGATCGACATGAAAATTTATGGTTGGATTGCTCATGGCTTTTGGATCACTTGATTAGGCTAGTGGGGATTCGGGATAGACTAGTACACTGGGATAGGTTATTAGATTCAGGATAAATTCAGATTAGACGGAATAGATGAAGATTAGACCTGTGAAATTTTCAGATTAATAAAATTCGGGATAAAGTCGGATTAGATTCAGGATAAATGAAGACTAGACGTGGGATTAATTCATTTAAGATTCAGGATAAATTCAGATAAGACTCAGGATAATTAACGATTAGACTCGGGATTAAGTACGTGTATACATGTCATATAATTCATCCTAGCACGAAAGGTTGATGTTGACGATGCTGTTTCTACATTTTTAAAATCTGTTTTAATCAGAATAAAAAGGATTACATCAATGACAACATTTGATAACTGAAAAAAAAATATGACTTACACCCAAATTCAAATATTTACCATTCGCAAAACGCTCCTCATATCATGCATGCCGGTCATCTGCTGCTCTTCTTGGGGTCAAGGGATCACCCTGAGGGAGGGCCCTCCCTACTGCGGGCCAGGGCCTCTCGCGGCGTATATAAGAAGGTCCAGAGGCGGTTCGCTTCAGCTCGCGCTTGACCTGGCTCGCGATATCTTGTCCGCACCATCATGAAGCTGGTGAGTTTGACAGTTCATAGTCTGGTCATATCTCTATATATGAATATATATACACATGTATACACACACGCATATATACACGTATAAGTGATCAAAAATTTGATTGATTGAGACACCGCTGAACTTCGTTTTAGAATTGCAATTCTGTAACAGATATACTGTATCCCTTTTCCCGATTCAGCAAATCTTGCAAACGGATAAGATTCCACACAAATCTCTTTAGCATGCTGTTCCAAACTATTTTCTTGATAAATATGAAAGAAACCCCCCCTCCCGGCAACTACTTTAAACAACGCAGTCAATCACAATCCTAGTACCTTGCAATGTTGTTTAATTTCTAAAGGTTTGATCTTTCGTGTTAAATAGATATATAAATAGATATGGATATTTATATGTGCGTTTGTACGTGAATGCGTGCGTACGTGTACATGAGTCAGTGTGAGTATATATATGTATGTGTATATAAGATATATTTATACACATATGTGTATGTATGTGTAAAACGTGTCAATTTATTAAGTTATTATTTTCTATTTTTATCTTTTTATCATATTTATCTCTCTTTATCTTTTACTTAATGTGATATAGATGATACAGTGAAATGAATTAACGATTCTCCTGCCGGAATGGTCAACGACACGTATTCATTCCATTAAGGTTTGATTTATCAGGTTTCTCATTATCATCACTATACCATTTATCAGCAGGATTATCATGGTTTTTATTTGTTCAGACTGTCCTCTTTGGCGTGGCCGTGGCCCTGTATGGCCTTGTGGGTTCAGCGCGTGCCATGCCTTCCCCGTGCCGACCCTTACCCCGTGGCCCCTTACCCTGTGAGCACCGTGGGACCGACCCTTACCCCGTGCAGACCCTGAGCCGGTGGCCGACCCTTACCCCAGACCCCTGGCAGACCCTTACCCACCCTTACCACCCTTACCCCGAGGCAGACCCTTACCGCCGATGCTGAAGAAGGATGTTGGTGTATATTATTTTGTAAATGTGATTAAGGGAATTCATGTTTGCTTTCATTGACATGGCTGGAATATAATCGTAAATCTAAATGTTACACGTGTTAAAGCAACCTTTTTATTGGATACAAATGATAAAAATGGACAGTATGAAGTATGATACAAGTAGTGAGAAGAAAGATAGTAGAGAGAAAATAAATTCAGCGAATAAAGACTTAAGACTATTCCTTTTTGTGTCATACTAGTTTCCTTATATATATATATATATATATATATATGTATATATATATATATATATATATATATATATATATATATATATATATATATACGTATGTGTGTGTGTTTGTGTGTGTGTGTGTGTGTGTATGTATGTGTGTGTGTTTCCCTACAAGAAGTCCGAACTGAGAGTTATAGCTCAATAGATATGTTTATATGCTACTGAAAAACAGCATCTGCACACAAAGTCAGATATATAAATATATGCATTTATGCTTATCTGAGTATCATTATCCACACACACACACACACACACACACACACACAAACACACACACACACACACACGCACTCATGTACCTATAAAAACATAGAGCTATCTCGAATTTCCTGGCTAGAAGTATAGAAGTAGCAAAAGAGAGAAAAATAGGAAAAAATATAAAGGCAAAGAAATATAAAATAAAGAAAAAATCAATGAAATCTAGGAAGTACAACCAATGCTTATAGAAGAAAAAAATAATAAGATAAAGTAAAAAGACCAAAAGAAGCAAAGGACAAATAAACGGAAGAAGGAAAAGTGTATATATATATACATATATATTCACTTATGTATGTACGCATATACATATACACATACGTATATTTACGCACACCTATATGTATGAATATACACGTATATATTGTACACACATACACACATAAATTCACACACATATAAGTATATATGATTGTATATATACACATGCACACACACACACACACACACACAAAACACGCACACACACTCATATACAAATGTGTATGTATATCCATGAATATACACACTGATAACTATTTATGTATATTTATTTATCTGTCTGAGTATAAACTTTTATTCTCAAATTTCGTTTTTCTTTTCATATGTATATCCGAGTTGAACGAAAATAAGCCCCTTTACTTTCTGGTTTCAAGAAGTAAGAAAAATAGGCAGAATAGGAGAAGAGTGTGATCTCTTTGGTCCTGAAAGAGAAAAGTCAGCAGTAATGTTATTAATATCAATACATGCAAACTAACAGCGACTTAAGCAGTGGAAGGAAAAGTCTTTTGTCTTCACATTTCTAATGTATCTTCTCCCATGCCCTGAGAGAGAGCGAGAGCGAGAGAGAGAGAGAGAAATAACAGCAAACACTGGATATGTTGCTGTTGTCTGCGACAACTTGATTTACGATTTATGAAAATTTATAGGGAAAGGGGATGCATTGTTTACATTCCCTAATATAGTTATCCTATCTAGAAAGTCTAAAATAGATTTATAGATATCTATACATCTTTCACGCTCTCTCTCTCTCTCTCTCTCCTATATAATATATATATATATATATATATATATATATATGTATGTATGTATGCATATATATGTATACATGTACTGTACACACAAACACACATATGTGTGTGTATGTGTATATATATATGTATATATGATTCTGATGATTTGTAGATATATACAAATCATCAGAATTCGATGAGTACTGAATTCATTGTCATCAACAATAGCAATGCTCTTAAACCGGGTCTAGCATCAATATCCTTTTCCGTTCCTTTGTTATTATTCATTCTGTTTACTTTTTCCTTACCAACGTAAAAAGTCGTCCGGTTATACATTGCAAATAATAATGTAAATATTTGGGTAACTTCAATGCGGCATCAAGCTGTGATCGAGCTGGCTATGAGATGCCTGTCGGTCCCCATGGTTCGGGAGCTGATACCGGCAGCGAGAATAGCCTCCTTTTCTGGGACACTATCCTGCGCCTTAGAGTCTCGACTTGATGCCTTTTGTAATAGGTCCTTGCGCCGGATCATGGGTACTGTTGGCGGGACCATGTGTCCAACCAACGGCTACACCGTGAGACTGGCACAGGACCTGTTACCTGCACAATCCGTGATCGCCAACTCAGGCTTTACGGCCACCTGGCTCGCTTCCCTCAGGATGATCCTGCCCACAGGTTGTCTCTGTTCGAGACAGCCCTGGGTGGAGGAAGCCTGTGGGACGACCTAAGAAGTCGTGGCTCGGGCAGATCGATCAAACCTGTCGTGAGGAGCTTGAGATGGGCCGAGTCCCTGCCTGGCGACTTGCCTTGAGGGATCCTCGCAGGTATAAACAAAGGGTGGATGCGGCTATGCGCCTCCGTCGGCGTTAGCTCCGTGATGATGAATATATACATATACATATACATACATACACTATATAATATATATATATATATTTGTGTACAGTTAATGTGTGTGTATGTACGTATATATATACATACCCACACATATATGCACACACGCATGTACACATGCATATATATACATATATATGTGTAAATGCGTGAGTATGATGTGTATATGCACACGCCCCTCCCACCCACCCACCCACACACACACACACACACACACACACACACACACACACACACACACATATATATATATATATATATATATATTACAGACATACACGTGTAGACACACACATACACTCAAACACACTCAGATATATATGCACACACACATATATGTATAGATATGTGTAAAAGTGTATATTTATATCCCGAAGCCGCCGGGCATGCCATGTACGTGCAGTCTGGGACCAAAGCAAAGACTATATATGGATAAGGAGAAAGCTCATATATCCACCATTAAAAATGGGCGCCTTGGAACGCCATCTATTGAGATGACGCACAACCATATTCGTGAGTTTCTACGGGTAACTATTATAATTTTATAATGTAATTTTGTGGCCAGTCCTTTATTCTAAATTTATAATTTCTCGGATGTATTATCCATATAGCAATAACTCTTAATTGCGAATACGTTTTTTTTTTATTTAGTTTCTCTATGCTCGTGATAAACATTAGTAATTTGTTATGCGCTTTTTCTAATCATTTGGAATCACCGATGATTTAAAGATCAATGCTTTTGTTGCGAATTACATGAAAATTGCCACATGCTTTTTTATTACATCATTTGAACAACTAAAGCTAAACTTAATTTTATGAATAATGTATTAATTCTTTAGATAAACGTTCAGCTTTTCATTTTTTTTTGTTATTGAGTATTCATGGTATATTACTGAAGCCTCGATATTATGACAATGTGTTGCAAATGTTTTATATCTATACAAGTATGATGCAGGACACACAAAACAAAAAGCAAACAAACACACAGAAAAAATAGAATATATGTCAGACACTAAAATAATCACATCCAATATATGTAGTGCATTAAAATAAACAAAAATAACTTTGAACAATCGCATAATCAGAAATAATATAAACAGGGCACACACAAGCCAATGAAAAATGCTAGACAATAACATAAACATAAACAAAAGTAACACATCCAGAACAATCACATTAACCAAATACATATATGCAGAGAGCCATCATATAAATGCAAGCAATATATACTAGATAGACACAAACCAAAGAGAAATTTGCAGGCCAATGACATAAACAAAAGAATGCATGCAGGTCAACCACATAAACAAAAGAATAAATGAAAGAAACTGATATAAACTCAATAAATGCATGCACGATATTCACATAAGAAAAAAAAACCCAGTTCATGGAAGTATGTTGAAATATCAACACAATATAGATTAGAATGTAATATGAAAGCTGCAAAAAACAATTATAATTAGCAGTAAAAAAATTTGCTTGACAATCACAGGCCATGCACAGACAAGTGTAAACAATTATTCACATGGAATGAGTACATTAAAGCTGAAAGAAAAAGTACAGACCAAAATGTATACATTTCTTCTTATAATAATCTGCAAAAGAAAATGGTTAATGGTTAATGGTTAAAAAAGCAAAAATATATGTGCTAGACATCTCAGGTCATATAACACTATAAGAAAGTATATTAAAGGAGGGCTGAAGGGTGATAGTTGCTATACGTCAACTATCTAGAGTGATCTTGAAAGGTTAAGATGGGTAAAATTGTGTGAATAGGCTATGGTGGGTTTAGGTAAGAGAATTACATAAGTGTTTCACGTGTGTATCCAGGAGGGAGTGGAAATGATAGAGGGGATGGAGGGAGGGAGTGTACGTATAGTTTGAGTTGAGGGGTGGGTTGTGTTGGGAGGGAGTAGGAGGATGTGGTATAATATTAGTAGAGGAGGATGGGTGTTGGGAGGATGGTTATCGGTAGTATTTGGAGTTCCGGCACAAGTATTAAGAGTTGGATGGGTTCTGCAGGAATGGGTTTGCCAGAGAAATCAGTTAGATTTGGGAGGAGTAGTGAAGGGGAATATGAGCAGAGGGTGATGGATATCGGCAGTCACTTCGAGTGTGGAAGGAGTTGTGGAATTTTGTGTCTCAAGCATATAGTTTTGGATATCTTCCATAGTTTCTGCAGTGGAGTTGGTTGGAGAGTTTTGTGAGACAAAGGTTTTCTTATGGGGGTATTGGGGAGAGGGGACTGGTGACTGAGGAATAAAGATAAAGGTGAGTGTGCAGTAGGGAAGAAGGAGGGGGGGGGGGGCGTTTATCTGTCTCCTGCGGTAGTGCGGGGAGAGGGAGAGGGACGGGTTTGGGCTGCAGTTCAGATTGGAGCTGTAGTTGAGATTGGGATGTCTGGCTTTAGAGTAGCAAAAGAATTTGACTGGGGGAGGTAGAATGTAGAAGTGGAAGTGGGGAAGTAGGTAGGTATAAGCGAGGGTGTAGGAACATCTTGAGGTGGAGAGGGCGGGGCAGAGAAAGCAACATTACAAGAGTAGGGAGTATGGGAAACCTTTTCGGCGTGCTTCCTGTCTGGCTTCACGTAGAGTGAGACCATTTTTGTATCTTAGAGTTGCTACTTCAGACTCGAACTTCTTCATAAAATATCTTAATGTCAGATTTTTCTGCTGAATCATTTGATGGCACAACTGACACTGACTCACACAGTTCTGTAAGTAATAATACCAAATTACCCCATTTTTATCATGGAAATCATAAGGATAAAATTAGAATCTATTTTGACTAGAATTTTACAAATCTTGTGCTTCCATTTTGTCGATTTCAACCTTTCTTTTTGTAGCAATTACCTATCATCCAATGTTCCTTTTAAAGAACCCTAAAAACATAAAAAGGATGTAGAATATCATTTTATACATGGAGATGCATATACCTAAATATAATGAGGAGAGAGAGAGAGAGAGAGAGAGAGAGAGAGAGAGAGAGAGAGAGAGAGAGAGAGAGAGAGAGAGAGAGAGAGAGAGAGAGAGAGACAGAGACAGACAGACAGACAGAGACAGAGAGAGAGAGAGAGAGAGTGAGAGAGAGAGAGAGAAGAAGAGAGAGAGGAGAGATACAGAGAGGGAGATATATATATAGAGAGAGGGAGAGATAGAGATAGAGAGAGGGAGAGATAGAGATAGAGAGAGATAGAGATAGAGATAGAGAGAGGGAGAGATAGAGAGAGGGAGAGAGAGAGAGAGGGAGAGATAGAGATAGAGAGAGGGAGATAGAGAAAGGGAAAGAGAAAGAGGGGAGGGAGAGATAGAGAGAGAGAGATAGAGAGAGGGAGAGGGAGAGATAGATAGATAGAGAGATAGAGATAGGAGAGATAGAGAGAGAGGGAGATATAGAGGAGAGAGAAAGAGGGGAGGGGGAGATAGAGAGGAGAGAGAAGAGGGGAGAGGAGAGATAGAGAGGGAAAGAGAAAGAGGGAGGAGAGAGAAAACAGAGATAATTATGGTTGGGGAAGCCTGTGTAGCATTTATAGCAATGATCCTTTTCTTTTATTTACACAAATAATATGTAAATACATAAAGCATCTTTCCAAAATCAATGTCTATATTTTCTGAGAAAGAGAGAGTTTCAGACCCTTGGCTTGCACGTTTGCAGTCTGTAAAAAGACAATTTTATAGTTTCTATAAAAAAAGAAAAATCCATTTAACATAATTATACAAGTATGATATGCATTTAAAATTTTCATGATACCTAAGTATCTTAAGGCATGCTTGATTTCAATATAGTTACAGCGGTTACTTTTAAATTTGAAGATTTAATAGAAATAAACTACAACTCTGTTGATCAGGAAATAATTCATATTCTTAACATACCATTCCTTAATCTACTCAAAACGTTCTGATGTTACATTAACATTGCCACTACTCATTCCCATGTACAATGGTAATTCAAAACTCAAAATACTATCGTTTAACAATGGTAACCTTTCAATACTTACAGCTAAGGTTTTGGTCTGGGCAAGCATGGAGAAGTCTAGAATCTGAGTTTCCATTAGTATAATTTCCGGATGAAAAGTGGAAACTGCATACCCTGTAGCTTTTGTTGTGATGTGCATAACTCTTCTTGAATAAACTTGGTAACTGAATAACTTCAAGCCATTTAGCACACCTAAAAAATGTCAAAATACACTAAAATAAATACGTTCATATGTAATATATATGCACAATTATTTTTTTTGAAAATGGCCAGCCTATGGCAGGGAAGATCCATTTCAATACTATGAAAAACGAAATATTAATATAAAAAAATAAATACATTATGTAAAGTCTGTATCAGCATTGCAAATTAAGATTCAGAAAAATAGTAAATGGTGTCAACGGCAATTGAAATAGTTACTGCATATCGATTTACTATGACGGCAGATAGGCCTATTTCTACTAACCTATTTCTACTACACAAGTTTTTAGGATTTCCTTATCCAATGAAAGAAAACATTATATTATATATCGATTTCATTATGCAAGATGTAAAGTAATGGCACTCACAAAGAAAACATGCATCTACTAAGGGTAAATAAGTTGACTGTGAAATGCATATAAATGTAATATATATATATATATATATATATATATATATATATATATATATATATATATATATATATATATATATATATATATATATGTATATATATATATATATATATATATATATATATATATATATATATATATATATATATATATATCTCATTAACTATTGCAGCAGATGGAGCATCAAGAGGAGCATGAGGGCTGGGTCATCTGAATCGGGGAGCCCTGATATTTTCAAGAATAGGGCAGACCAAGACATGGTGCAGAGGCGGCTCTTCCACAAACGCTTGACAGTATCGGCATTCCCTAGGTACACGGTCGTCAATTTCCCAGCGGGCGATGGAGGGTGGTGGCGTCTTTCCGTTCCATGGATCGGGGGATGGTGATTGGGTTGTACTCTGTGACTGTTTTATACCACTTCGCAGAGGAGGAACCAGCTTGTACCCAAACCTGGTGCTGAATGCGGGATACATGAAAGGAGGCTCTCTTTGCAAGTTTCTTAATAAGGCTGATGCTGGGACGGAGGACTGTGAAGTAATTTTGCCTTAAAGGAGATTGATTTTAGAGCTAATCCACATAGTAAAGAAATATTTTGATCCTTAATGGCCTAAGAAAGAGAGAAAAGGACATAAAGAAAGAGAGGGAGAAAGAAAAAGATTGATTAATAGTTAGATAAATAGATAGTGTATATATATACCTCTACACACTCATATATATATATATATATATATATATATATATATATATATATATATATATATATATATATTCATATATGTATATATAGAGAGATAAAGAGAGAAAACATACCATTTCAAGCATTCAAAGCAGAGCATCGTATCTAAAATAGCTATTTTCTCCAAATAAATACATCCTTACGAAAAAAGAGATAACAAATAACATAAGCAACCACAAGAACTAGAATTTCTTTACAAAAATGTAACAACTATAACAACAATTATACAACAAAAGAATGCAACAACAAATATGCAGCAACGACAACAAAAACTATGTAACAAAAATATATTTAACAACAAAAAACATACTCAGGAAGTAAACATCAACACAAAAGCAACAACAAAAAGATATACAACAACAAATATACAACAACAGAGAGAGAGAGAGAGAGAGAGAGAGAGAGAGAGAGAGAGAGAGAGAGAGAGAGAGAGAGAGAGAGAGAGAGAGAGAGAGAGAGAGAGAGAGAAAGACAAGAGGTCGTGTCTCCAGAAGGTTGTGACTTTAAACACATTTTTTCTTGTTCTCTCTTTCTCTTTTACTACTTCTATACTGTAATCAAATCGAGATAGCTCTGTATGTTGCGCTTGAGTGCGTGTTTGTGTGTGTGTGTGGATAAGGATACTCAGATAAGCATATACACATATTTGTATAAGTCTGACTTTGTGTGCAGATGCTGTTTTTCAATAGTATATGGTAAACATACGGTCTATTTAGTTATATCTCTGTTTGGTGATGTCTCTTTGACAAAAAACGTCGGACTTCTTGTAAGGGAACACACACACACACACACACACACACACACACACACACACACACACACACACACACACATATATATAAGGAAACTAGTATGACATAAAAAGGAATAGTCTTAAGTCTTTATTCGCTGAAGCAAGTATTTCTTAAAACTTTAACAGTTACATCGCACACATCGAAACATTACATCTTGCGGGCTAATTCCCCTTTACTTGAATAAAAGTTGAACAAAGTAAATTGTTTTGTCTATTTTCTCTATTAGTATTATTATTCCATTCATTCATTTATATCTGCCACAACTCCATTGTAAATAGCGATAGCAATAAAAAAAAAAAAAAAAAACTAAGCATGTATAGGTTTCGTAGGTTGATTTATAATCCATTGCTTTTGCTGATGTTCCATGTGTAGATATCTTTTTATTTTCTCTCTACTTCCATCTTTCTTCTCACTACTTGTATCATACTTCATACTGTCCATTTCCATCATTTGTATCCAATAAAATGTTTGATTTAACACGTATCAGGCTTAGATGTAATATTAAATCCAAACAATCTCCATGAAAACAAGCATGGATTTATATAGTCACATATACAAATCACCCCCGAACAACATGATTTAGCTTCGGCTTCGGGGTAAGGGTAAGCCACCGGCTCAGGGTCTGCCACGGGGGAAGGGTGGGCCACGGGGGAAGGGTCGGCCACGGGGGAAAGTCAAAAGGGTCGGCCACGGGGGAAGGCATGGCACGCGATGAACCCAGGAGGCCATACAGGGCCACGGCCACGCCAAAGAGGACAGTCTAAAAAAAAATGATATAGTGATAAATGGTATAGTGATGGGATGATGATCATGAAAAACATCCCGTCAGCAAATCGTTTTGCTGTATCATGTATATCACATAATGTGCAAATATATAAATGATAACTTGATGAATTGACGTGTGTTACACACACACACACGTGTATAAATATATCATATACACATACTCGTAGTGTCTCATGCACACGTGCAAACGCACGCACGCACAAACACATAAATATCCATATCTATCTATATATCTAACAGAACAAAAGATCAAACCTTTGAAAATTAAACAGCATTGCAAACTACTAGGATTATGAATCGTTGCTTAGTTTGAAATAGTTGCTGGGAGAGGATTTTTTTTTCTTTTTACATTTATCAAGAAAATAGTTTGGAATAGCATGCTAAAGAGATTTGTGTGTCGAATCTTATCCGTTTACTTCACAAAGTTGACAACAATGCTCCAAATTTCCTTAAAACTCATCCTTTCCTTGAAATCTAATTTTTGATCACTTATACGTGTATATATGCGTGTGTATGTGTGTATACATGTGTATATATTCATATATATAGATATGACCAGACTATGAACTGTCAAACTCACCAGCTTCATGATGTGCGGACAAGATATCGCGAGCCAGGTCAAGCGCGAGCTGAAGCGAACCGCCTCTGGACCTTCTTATATACGCCGCGAGAGGCCCAGACCCGCAGTAGGGAGGGCCCTCCCTGGGAGGGTCCTCCCTCAGGGTGATCCCTTGACCCCAAAAAGAGCAGCAGATGACCGGCATGCAAGATATGAGGAGCGTTTTGGGAATGGTGAATATTTGAGTTTAGGTGTAGGTCATATTTTTCAGGGTGTTATAAAATAGTCACTGATCTAATCCTTTTTTTTTTTTTTTTTTTTTATTGAAATGATAATATTGATAATTATTCTCATCACAACAATCATTATTACCTCTTACCATTACTTTCATCATCGTTATTGTCATTGAAGTTAAAATAGAGTATAATGCAAAAAGTGCTGGGATTATATGACATATATGACATGGCAAGCATCTACAAGTACATAGTCACCAAAGAGTCACTTACTTTTTCTTTGTATCTCAATTGTTTACCTTTTTTTTTTGTCCAGAAAGATAAAAAAAAACTTATTGCTGTTATAACTTTAGTTATCATTCTAATAATGTTGTCAATAAGAGTAACAATTACGATTTTAATAACAGATTTTATTCGAAACTTCAAGGGATAGGGAAATCAGGTGAAACGTACGTATGTTTGTATATATATATATATATATATATATATATATATATATATAGATAGATAGATAGATAGATAGATAGATAGATAGATACCTTTATATGTACTGTTTATGTATATGTGTATAAATAAATAAATATATATATATATTTATGTGTGAATGCATTTCATATATATACATAGACACACACACACACACACACACACACACACACACACACACACACACACACACACACACACACACACACACACACATATATATATATATATATATATATATATATATATGTATATATGTGTGTGTGTGTATGTGTGTGTGTGTGTGTATGTGTGTGTGTATGTGTATGTGTTAGTGTTTTTCGTGTTAATATGTGTATACTATGGATTTTAGAATGTGTGTGTGCATATATATGTATATATATTTAAATGTTTTTGTCTATGTATATATATTTTATACATACATAAATACATACTTATGTATATATATATATATATAATATATATATATATATATATATATATATATATATATATGTGTGTGTGTGTGTGTGTGTGTGTGTGTGTGTGTGTGTGTGTGTGTGTGTGTGTGTGTGTGTGTGTGTGTGTGGTGTGTGTGTGTGTTTAAAGTATATATTTTAAATATATACATACACACACACACACACACACACACACACACACACACACACACACACACACACACACACACACACACACACATATATATATATATATATATATATATATATATATATATATATATATGTATGTATGTATATTCATATGTACAGTACATACATGTAAGTTGTGTATATATACGTTTTTCTCTTTCCCTTTTTGGGCGGTGGGGCGCTAAACTTTCAAGGAAATAACCTCAACGTAAGAATATTAATAAGAATAATACGAAAATGACTTCGATGAATGCATACATCTAACCCGTAAGGATGACTGGAATAATAATAATAATAATAATAATAATAAAAAAAATATATATATCAATTAATTAGGAAAGTAAATACGAATTGGGAGTGAGAGGGGATAAGAGGATGGGGGGGGGGCTGGGGGGGGGAGGGGCAGGGCTAATACCAAGGACATGAAAATCAAGTAGGAAAAGACAAGACAAAATCGAGATAGCAACTTAATCTTGCTTTAAAAGCGTTTGTAGGAAGCGTTTGGTAGGTCCGGGATCGATCACCTTGAAGCTTTTCCAGCGGCTGTTTTAGTTATTGTTATTTTGTGATTGTTGTTTTTATTGGTGGTATCTCCATCGAATGTGATACAGTAAGTTCAGTCCTTTACTATACTTTTTTCTAACTAGGAGTTTTACCTTTACGGGAAAAGTGCCGACGGATCGACATGAAAATTTATGGTTGGATTGCTCATGGCTTTTGGATCACTTGATTAGGCTAGTGGGGATTCGGGATAGACTAGTACACTGGGATAGGTTATTAGATTCGGGATAAATTCAGAATAGACGGAATAAATGAAGATCATACCTGTGAAATTTTCAGATTAATAAAATTCGGGATAAAGTCGGATTAGATTCAGGATAAATGAAGACTAGACGTGGGATTAATTCATTTAAGATTCAGGATAAATTCAGATAAGACTCAGGATAAATAACGATTAGACTCGGGATTAAGTACGTGTATACATGTCATATAATTCATCCTAGCACTAAAGGTTGATGTTGACGATGCTGTTTCTACATTTTTAAAACCTGTTTTAATCAGAATAAAAAGGATTACATCAATGACAACATTTGATAACTGAAAACAAATATGACACACCCAAATTCAAATATTTACCATTCGCAAAATGCTCCTCATATCATGCATGCCGGTCATCTGCTGCTCTTCTTGGGGTCAAGGGATCACCCTGAGGGAGGGGGAGGGCCCTCCCTGCTGCGGGTCAGGGCCTCTCGCGGCGTATATAAGAAGGTCCAGAGGCGGTTCGCTTCAGCTCGCGCTTGACCTGGCTCGCGATATCTTGTCCGCACCAACATGAAGCTGGTGAGTTTGACAGTTCATAGTCTGGTCATATCTCTATATATGAATATATACACATGTATACACGCATATATACACGTATAAGTGATCAAAAATCAGATTTCAAGGAAAGGATGAGTTTTAAGGAAATTTGGAGCATTGTTGTCAACTTTGTGAAGTAAACCTGCATTCAAAAGATTGAGACACCGCTGAACTTCGTTTTAGAATTGCATTTGTCAATTTGAAATACCCTGATATCAGCAAATCTTGCAAACGGATAAGATTCCACACAAATCTCTTTAGCATGCTGTTCCAAACTATTTTCTTGATAAATATGAAAGAAAACCCCCCTCCCGGCAACTACTTTGAACAACGCAGTCAATCACAATCCTAGTACCTTGCAATGTTGTTTAATTTCTAAAGGTTTGATCTTTTGTGTTAAATAGATATATAAATAGATATGGATATTTATATGTGCGTTTGTACGTGAATGCGTGCGTACGTGTACATGAGTCAGTGTGAGTATATATATGTATATGTATATTTGATATATTTATACACATATGTGTATGTATGTGTAAAACGTGTCAATTTATTAAGTTATTATTTTTTATTTTTTTATCTTTTATCATATTTATCTCTCTTTATCTCTTTTACTTTATGTGATATAGATGATACAGCGAAATGAATTAACGATTCTCCTGCCGGAATGGTCAACGACACGCATTCATTCCATTAAGGTTTGATTTATCAGGTTTCTCATTATCATCACACTATACCATTTATCAGCAGGATTATCATGGTTTTTATTTGTTCAGACTGTCCTCTTTGGCGTGGCCGTGGCCCTGTATGGCCTTTGTGGTTCAGCGCGCGTGCCATGCCTTCCCCGTGGCCGACCCTTACCCCCCCGACCCTTACCCGTGGCAGACCCTGAGCCGGTGGCACCGTGGCCGACTTACCCCGTGGCAGACCTTCCCCCGTGGCCGACCCTTACCCCGTGGCAGACCCTGAGCCGGTGGCCGACCCTTACCCCGTGGCCGACCCTTACCCCGTGGCAGACCCTGAGCCGCTGGCAGACCCTTACCCCGAGGCAGATCCTTACCCTAAAGCCGATGCTGAAGAAGGATGTTGGTGTTTCTTATTTTGTAAATGTGATTAAAGGAATTCATGTTTGCTTTCATTGAAATGGCTGGAATATAATCGTAAATCTAAATGTTACACGTGTTAAAGCAAACTTTTTATTGGATACAAATGATAAAAATGGACAGTATGAAGTAGTGAGAAAAAAGAAGATAGAAGAGAAAATAAAAAGATCTACATATGGAACATCAGCAAAAGCAATGGTATATAAATCAACCTACGAAACCTATACATGCTTAGTCTTTTTTTTTTTTTTTTTTTTTTCATTGTGCTTTGCTATCGCTATTTACAATGGAGTTGTGGCAGATATAAATGAATGAATGAAATGATATTACTAACAAACAAAATAGACCAAACAATTTTCTTTGTTCAACTTTTATTCAAGTAAAGGGGAATTACCCCGCAAGATATAATGTTTCGATGTGTGCGATGTAACTGTTAAAGTTTTAAGAAATACTTGCTTCAGCGAATAAAGACTTAAGACTATTCCTTTTTGTGTCATACTAGTTTCCTATATATATATATATATATATATATATATATATATATATATATATATATATATATATATACATATATGTATGTGTGTGTGTGTGTGTTCCCCTACAAGAAGTCCGAACTGAGAGTTATAGCTCAATAGATATGTTTATCATATGCTACTGAGAAAACAGCATCTGCACACAAAGTCAGACATATAAATATATGCATTTATGCTTATCTGAGTATCATTATCCACACACACACACACACACACACACACACGCGCACGCACTCATGTACCTATAAAAACATAGAGCTATCTCGAATTTCCTGGCTAGAAGTATAGAAGTAGCAAAAGAGAGAAAAATAGGAAAAAATATAAAGGCAAAGAAATATAAAATAAAGAAAAAATCAATGAAATCTAGGAAGTACAACCAATGCTTATAGAAGAAAAAAAAAAAATAAGATAAAGTAAAAAGACCAAAAGAAGCAAAGGACAAATAAACGGAAGAAGGAAAAGTGTATATATATACATATATATTCACTTATGTATGTACGCATATACATATACACATACGTATATTTACGCACACCTATATGTATGAATATACACGTATATATTGTACACACATACACACATAAATTCACACACATATAAGTATATATGATTGTATATATACACATGCACACACACACACACACACACACAAAAACGCACACACACTCATATACAAATGTGTATGTATATCTATGAATATACACACTGATAACTATTTATGTATATTTATTTATCTGTCTGAGTATAAACTTTTATTCTCAAATTTCGTTTTTCTTTTTATATGTATATCCGAGTTGAACGAAAATAAGCCCCATGACTTTCTGGTTTCAAGAAGTAAGAAAAATAGGCAGAATAGGAGAAGAGTGTGATCTCTTTGGTCCTGAAAGAGAGAAGTCAGCAGTAATGTTATTAATATCAATACATGCAAACTAACAGCGACTTAAGCAGTGAAAGGAAAAGTCTTTTGTCTTCACATTTCTAATGTATCTTCTCCCATGCCCTGAGAGAGAGCGAGAGCGAGAGAGAGAGAGAGAGAATAACAGCAAACACTGGATATGTTGCTGTTGTCTGCGACAACTTGATTTACGATTTATGAAAATTTATAGGGAAAGGGGATGCATTGTTTACATTCCCTAATATAGTTATCCTATCTAGAAAGTCTAAAATAGATTTATAGATATCTATACATCTTTCACGCTCTCTCTCTCTCTCTCTCTCTCTCTCTCTCTATATATATATATATATATATATGTATGTATGTATGCATATATATGTATACATGTACTGTACACACAAACACACATATGTGTGTGTATGTGTATATATATATATATGTATATATGATTCTGATGATTTGTAGATATATACAAATCATCAGAATTCGATGAGTACTGAATTCATTGTCATCAACAATAGCAATGCTCTTAAACCGGGTCTAGCATCAATATCCTTTTCCGTGTTGTTATTCATTCTGTTTACTTTTTCCTTACCAACGTAAAAAGTCGTCCGGTTATACATTGCAAATAATAATGTAAATATTTGGGTAACTTCAATGCGGCATCAAGTTGTGATCGAGCTGGCTATGAGATGCCTGTCGGTCCCCATGGTTCGGGAGCTGATACCGGCAGCGAGAATAGCCTCCTTTTTGGGACACTATCCTGCGCCTTAGAGTCTCGACTTGATGCCTTTTGTAATAGGTCCTTGCGCCGGATCATGGGGTACTGTTGGCGGGACCATGTGTCCAACCAACGGCTACACCGTGAGTCTGGCACAGGACCTGTTACCTGCACAATCCGTGATCGCCAACTCAGGCTTTACGGCCACCTGGCTCGCTTCCCTCAGGATGATCCTGCCCACAGGTTGTCTCTGTTCGAGACAGCCCTGGGTGGAGGAAGCCTGTGGGACGACCTAAGAAGTCGTGGCTCGGGCAGATCGATCAAACTGTCGTGAGGAGCTTGAGATGGGCCGAGTCCCTGCCTGGCGACTTGCCTTGAGGGATCCTCGCAGGTATAAACAAAGGGTGGATGCGGCTATGCGCCTCCTTCGGCGTTAGCTCCGTTGATGATGATGATATATACATATACATATATATATATATATATATATATATATATATATATATATATTTGTGTACAGTTAATGTGTGTGTGTATGTACGTATATATATACATACCCACACATATATGCACACACGCATGTACACATATACATATTATACATATATATGTGTATATGCGTGAGTATGATGTGTATATGCACACCCCCCTCCCACCCACCCACCACCCACACCACACACACACCACACACACACACACACACACACACACAACACACACACACACACACATATATTATATATTATATTTACAGACATACATGTGTAGACACACATACACTCAAACACACTCAGATATATATGCACACACACATATATGTATAGATATGTGTAAAAGTGTATATTTATATCCCGAAGCCGCCGGGCATGCCATGTACGTGCAGTCTGGGACCAAAGCAAAGACTATATATGGATAAGGAGAAAGCTCATATATCCACCATTAAAAATGGGCGCCTTGGAACGCCATCTATTGAGATGACGCACAACCATATTCGTGAGTTTCTACGGGTAACTATTATAATTTATAATGTAATTTTTGTGGCCAGTCCTTTATTCTAAATTTATAATTTCTCGGATGTATTATCCATATAGCAATAACTCTTAATTGCAAATACGTTTTTTTTTTATTTAGTTTCTCTATGCTCGTGATAAACATTAGTAATTTGTTATGCGCTTTTTCTAATCATTTGGAATCACCGATGATTTAAAGATCAATGCTTTTGTTGCGAATTACATGAAAATTGCCACATGCTTTTTTTTTATTACATCATTTGAACAACTAAAGCTAAACTTAATTTTATGAATAATGTATTAATTCTTTAGATAAACGTTCAGCTTTTCATTTTTTTTTTTTTTTTTTTTGTTATTGAGTATTCATGGTATATTACTGAAGCCTAGATATTATGACAATGTTTTGCAAATGTTTTATATCTATACAAGTATGATGCAGGACATACAAAACAAAAGCAAACAAACACACAGAAAAAATAGAATATGTCAGACACTAAAATAATCACATCCAATATATGTAGTGCATTAAAATAAACAAAAATAACTTTGAACAATCGCATAAGCAGAAATAATATACACAGGGCACACACAAGCCAATGAAATAAATGCTAGACAATAACATAAACAAAAGTAACACATCCAGAACAATCACATTAACCAAATACATATATGCAGAGCCATCATATAAATGCAAGCAATATATGCTAGATAGACACATAAACCAAAGAGAAATTTGCAGGCCAATGACATAAACAAAAGAATGCATGCAGGTCAACCACATAAACAAAAGAATAAATGAAAGAAACTGATATAAACTCAATCAATACATGCACGATATTCACATAAGAAAAAAACCCAGTTCATGGAAGTATGTTGAAATATCAACACAATATAGATTAGAATGTAATATGAAAGCTGCAAAAAACAATTATAATTAGCAGTCAAAAAAATTTGCTTGACAATCACAGGCCATGCACAGACAAGTGTAAACAATTATTCACATGGAATGAGTACATTAAAGCTGAAAGAAAAAGTACAGACCAAAATGTATACATTTCTTCTTATAATAATCTGCAAAAAGAAATGGTTAATGGTTAAAAAAAGCAAAAATATATGTGCTAGACATCTCAGGTCATATAACACTATAGGAAAGTATATTAAAAGAAGGGCTGAAGGGTGATAGTTGCTATACGTCATATCTAGAGTGATCTTGAAAGGTTAAGATGGGTAAAATTGTGTGAATAGGCTATGGTGGGTTTAGGTAAGAGAATTACATAAGTGTTTCACGTGTGTATCCAGGAGGGAGTGGAAATGATAGAGGGGATGGAGGGAGGGAGTGTACGTATAGTTTGAGTTGAGGGGGGTGGGTTGTGTTGGGAGGGAGTAGGAGGATGTGGTATAATATTAGTAGGAGGAGGATGGGTGTTGGGAGGATGGTATCGGTAGTATTTGAGTTCCGGCACAAGTATTAAGAGTTGGATGGGTTCTGCAGGAATGGGGTTGCCAGAGAAATCAGTTCGATTTGGGAGGGAGAAGTGAAGGGGGAATATGAGCAGGAGGGTGATGGATATCGGCAGTCACTTCGAGTGTGGAAGGAGTTGTGGAATTTTGTGTCTCAAGCATATAGTTTTGGATATCTTCCATAGTTTTTGCAGTGGAGTTGGTTGGAGAGTTTTGTGAGACAAAGGTTTTCTTATGGGGGTATTGGGGAGAGGGGACTGGTGTCTGAGGAATAAAGATAAAAGGTGAGTGTGCAGTAGGGGAAGAAGGAGGGGGGGGGGCGTTTATTCTGTCTCCTGCGGGTAGTGCGGGGAGGGAGAGGGGACGGTGTTTGGGCTGCAGTTCAGATTGGAGCTGTAGTTGAGATTGGGATGTCTGGCTTTAGAGTAGCAAAAGAATTTGACTGGGGGAGGTAGAATGTAGAAGTGGAAGTGGGGAAGTAGGTAGGTATAAGCGAGGGTGTAGGAACATCTTGAGGTGGAGAGGGCGGGCAGAGAAAAACATTACAAGAGTAGGGAGTATGGGAGAAACCTTTTCGGCGTGCTTCCTGTCTGGCTTCACGTAGAGTGAGACCATTTTTGTATCTTAGAGTTGCTACTTCAGACTCGAACTTCTTCATAAAATATCTTGATGTCAGATTTTTCTGCTGAATCATTTGATGGCACAAGGATAAAATTATAATCTATTTTGACTAGAATTTTACAAACCTTGTGCTTCCATTTTGTCGATTTCAACCTTTCTTTTTGTAGCAATTACCTATCATCCAATGTTCCTTTTAAAGAACCCTAAAAACATAAAAAGGATGTAGAATATCATTTTATACATGGAGATGCATATACCTAAATATAATGGAGAGAGAGAGAGAGAGAGAGAGAGAGAGAGAGAGAGAGAGAGAGAGAGAGAGAGAGAGAGAGAGAGAGAGAGAGAGAGAGAGAGAGAGAGAGAGAGATGAGAGAGAGAGAGAGAGGATGAGAGAGAGAGAGAGAAATAGAGAGAGGGAGAGATAGAGAGGGAGATAGAGATGGAGAGATAGAGATAGAGAGAGGGAGAGATAGAGAGAGAGAGAGAGAGAGAGAGAGATAGAGAGGGAGAGATAGAGAGAGGGAGAGATAGAGATAGAGAGAGGGAGATAGAGAGGGGAAAGAGAAAGAGGGGAGAGGAGAGATAGAGAGAGAGAGATAGAGAGAGGGAGAGGAGAGATAGAGAGAGAGATAAGAGATAGTAGAGATAGAGAGAGGGATATAGAGAGGGAGAGAGAAAGAGGGGAGGGGGAGATAGAGAGGAGAGAGAAAGAGGGGAGGGAGAGATAGAGAGAGGGAAAGAGAAAGAGGGGAGGGAGAGAGAGAAACAGAGATAATTATGGTTGGGGAAGCCTGTGTAGCATTTATAGCAATGATCCTTTTCTTTTATTTACACAAATAATATGTAAATACATAAAGCATCTTTCCAAAATCAATGTCTATATTTTCTGAGAAAGAGAGAGTTTCAGACCCTTGGCTTGCACGTTTGCAGTCTGTAAAAAGACAATTTTATAGTTTCTATAAAAAAAGAAAAAAACATTTAACATAATTATACAAGTATGATATGCATTTAAAATTTTCATGATACCTAAGTATCTTAAGGCATGCTTGATTTCAATACAGTTACAGTGTCTGCAGCGGTTACTTTTAAATTTGAAGATTTAATAGAAATAAACTACAACTCTGTTGATCAGGAAATAATTCATATTCTTAACATACCATTCCTTAATCTACTCAAAACGTTCTGATGTTACATTAACATTGCCACTACTCATTCCCATGTACAATGGTAATTCAAAACTCAAAATACTATCGTTTAACAATGGTAACCTTTCAATACTTACAGCTAAGGTTTTGGTCTGGGCAAGCATGGAGAAGTCTAGAATCTGAGTTTCCATTAGTATAATTTCCGGATGAAAAGTGGAAACTGCATACCCTGTAGCTTTTGTTGTGATGTGCATAACTCTTCTTGAATAAACTTGGTAACTGAATAACTTCAAGCCATTTAGCACACCTAAAAAATGTCAAAATACACTAAAATAAATACGTTCATATGTAATATATATGCACAATTATTTTTTTTTTGAAAATGGCCAGCCTATGGCAGGGAAATCCATTTCAATACTATGAAAAACGAAATATTAATATAAAAAAAAAATACATTATGTAAAGTCTGTATCAGCATTACAAATTAAGATTCAGAAAAATAGTAAATGGTGTCAACGGCAATTGAAATAGTTACTGCATATCGATTTACTATGACGGCAGATAGGCCTATTTCTACTAACCTATTTCTACTACACAAAGTTTTTAGGATTTCCTTATCCAATGAAAGAAACATTATATTATATCGATTTCATTATGCAAGATGTAAGTAATGGCACTCACAAAGAAAACATGCTTCTACTAAGGGTAAATAAGTTGACTGTGAAATGCATATAAATGTATATATATATATATATATATATATATATATATATATATATATATATATATATATATATATATATATATATATATATATATATATATGCAATGTGTGTGTGCGCGTGTGCGAGCGTAATAATATATATAATATATCATAATATAAAATATATATAATATATATATAAT